GAAGGTCAAGGACGGAATTTAAATAACGTCATAAAAACTTGTAGGCTAAATAATTCAGCCCACCACGACGATGTGGGTCATACGAAGATGATGAAGTAAACCCTTCCAACCAACAGTTGGCGATGTAGGTGGAAACCCGAAAATTCAGTATTCTTCAACGGTCATGAAGAAAATCTGCATAAAAGTATTCCTCACGGCGAAAACAGCACGGCCATTGTAGAAGGTCGGGGACGAGTGGCGATTACGTCATAATAAACAACTGTGGACATCAAATTAATGCCGGCCTTTGAACTACTGCTCAGCACGAACCAACGTTGAAAGAGGCCACATCTGCACCTTGACTGGAATCAATGGGCGATGAGAGACACGATATAGTCGCTGGATATCGCGCCGGTCAACCAGAAGTCCGTCTCTGGCAAATGACGACGAATCGAGCAGGCCACATCACGCGTCGAAAAGTCCATTCATCACGGTCCAAGGTACACAACTGAATCCCGATAAAGAAAAACAACCCTTGATACTGTAGATTACGACGTAATGCTGTAGATAACGGGCGAATCTAGATGAAAGCGTGCTGCTAGCCACAGATGAGATGACATCACGCAAGTGTAGATGGGAACGTACTACGAATGATAGGTTCAGCAAACCTCTGCATCTACCATGTGTTGTAAAGTGAGTTTCTGTACAGGGTCGACGCTGAACGTGACGAACGAGGTATAGATGGAATATAGATGAGACAAGGCGGCTTTATCCATTTCTATAATTTTATTACATCAATACATACAGCTACATCAACGGCAGACACAAAACGAAGACTTCCTAACACAACGACAACAAGACTCAGACTGACTCTCAACTATCTACCTAACAACCAAAACATTCTCTCTTACATCACCACCTTATTTATTTACGCATTCATAATCTTTTATTAACACCACTACACACACACTCTCAAACCATCGACAACTTTATTAACCCCATTCAACCACACACATACTCTCAAACTCATTCCTTACATTTAAGTCCATTCACAACAGAGACCATAGAAAACACAACGCAGCTTAGCCACCTGTCTGGCGAGCTGTGGTTCACCCCGAATTTTTACAATAGTAGAGCCGGTTTGGTTCGAATAAGTGACGGCTACTAGGGGCAGATATTTTAGTTTTTAACCGATTTGAAACTAAGTGGAGATAACACGTTCTGATTGATATTTTCATTGTCGTCTGTAAACGGTTGCTTTCACTGGGCGAGATGGAGTGGGGGTGGGAGTGGGGGAGGCAGGGTGGAGGGGTGGTGTCAGATTCACCAATTATGAAATGTTAATAATTCGAAAATAAAACTACTAGATAGAGGCGTATGCTACATCGCGTGTCAGCTCGTAAAAAAATAAAACGTTTAAAATCAGCGATCTGTAGCTACTCTAGCATATAAACAAATATTTCCCATAGTATAATATTTCCCTTTAAGAAAAAAAAATAAACCGGGAGTGATATCCCCTAAACTTTCTCGAACATTCTTATGTAAAACAACAGGGGATGGGAACTCGGGATATAGACATGATTTTTTAAATCTAAAACTTTTTAAAATAGAATAAAATCTTGTAGAAAAAAAATTGCACACCAAGTGAACGCCAAATAAAATGTGCATAATATTGTGGAGTATTATTAGCACTTTATAAATTTACATGGGTTTTTTTTAGAAATCGGAACTAGCGTAAATTACTACTTCCGGTCAACGGAAATTACTCAAAATTTGAAAGAAAGCAAAAAATTAGATCTTTTACTAACATGTGAAATTTCATTTATCTATCTGAAATAGTACTTAATTTCTAGGCTTTTGAAAAATTCAAATTAGAAAAGGTACCACTTTCAATTATCAGAAATTGCTCAAAAGTTGATACGTATGTAGGATTTTGATAAAATACTTATATATAAAATTGCATCAACCTAGCTGTAATGGTACTCAAGTTACCGTGTTGACAGACACACAGACACACAGACACAGACAGACATACGGACATAATTTCAAAATTATGTTTTTCCGTATCAGTGAGTTTTAAAACGTCGAGATTAGCAAAAATCTCGATTTTTTTTTGCACGATTACAAGACTTTCCCTATTCTTCGGATATACGAGAAAGTAAAAATCTATATGTTCTTTAAAATAATTTTTAGTTCTTAAGTCTACATTGCCTGTAAAAACAGTCGCATCTTAAAAATGCAAGTCAAACTATCAAAAATTTAGAAATTGACTTGACATAATTACAAGCGTTTTATCAACAGCCAAAAAACAGAACATGGTTAACGCATACACTAAAGATAATAAATGTAAACAATTTTGATTGTCTTTTAAGAATATCAAATGGCGCTCAAGCGCTAAGCAGGGGTAAACAGCTACATTTATTTCCGATGTTTTTAAGAAATTTCAGCACAAATGATGTCCTTGACTTTTCACTTTTAGATATGAAACTATTAGGAAACTATTGCAACGTTATAATGTTTGTCTACCTAAGCTATTGACGTAATGTAAATATAAGAGCTAAATAAATGTGCTGCTGACGTTTTGACTTTCAAAACGGTAAGATTTATTTCGTTCACAATATAATAGACCACGTGGTAAGATCGATTGATCGATCTCTTTGAATGTATTTGACGACGTCACTTGCTGTACGATAAAACTTGGCAGGTGCTTAACTTGAACTAGACTACCCGTTATTCTTGAATAACCGTGGGTTTTGGGGCCCAATGATAATATTTGCATAAGGGCCCGAAAATCCTAGCTACGCCACTGCCCCCCCCCCCCCCCCCCCCACTTACCCCCGAATGCTACTGCCAGTGCAGTAAGAAATAACTGGAGCCCTTAAATTATTTCTACATTACAAAATAAACTGGATTTCTGTTTTCTTTTTAAAATTATTTATCTCTAAAACACTAAAATTCCAATGGAATAGCTTCAATACATTTAAAGAGGGAAAAGGGCCCCTATGTGCATCGGGCCTCTATGCCTTGCTTACTTTCGATTTACGGTAGCTACGCCACTGCATATATTCTCCTTTCTGAAGTAACACGCTAATTAGCAGTCTCTTATCTCGCAGATTTGAATAAGGTAAAAATTATGTCGCCATCTTGTGATTATAATTAAACCAATCAGATAACAGATACAAGAGATCATAGCATCATCTTACCGTTCTATATGAGTGGCTACTGATACCTAATCATCAGCCTGGAACAAAATAGATTTGCATTTAACAAAAATGTTCATTTAGTAGCAATGTGTATTTAGAATCAATCTGTATTTAATAACAATATTCACTTAAGAACAATGTTCACTTAAGAACAATGTTAATTTAACAACAATGTGCATTCAACAACAATGCGCATTTTACAACAATATCCATTTAGCACAAGGCAGATTTAAATGTAAGTAACTAGAGGAAACTGACTACTTTTTTTTATTGTGGTGCTATCCTTAGCTCCTGACTGTCGAACAATGACTATACAGTCCAGAAAATTCCCCATTTTATTTTTACTTTCGTGATTTCTTTTAAATTTTAGGCGTCTTGCCTACGTGGAGAGACGCAGCAAAAGGTTGGGAAAAGTCGCTAGATCCAGACTTTAGCGTTAATGTTGAGAGTTGCTAAATCCAAACTTTAGCGTCAATATTGAGAGTCGCTGGATCTAAACTTTAGCGTCAATATTGAGAGTTGCTTCATACAAAATACAAACAGAAACAAAAATGAGAAAGAAAACGAGTTGATTTAAAACCGTTTATTTACGTTTATATTTACAAGCAATTTGCGACATTTTTTTCTCCACTCCCAATCAAACAATTAACAACTTTTTCTCTGATAAAAATAACGAGATAATTAATTAAAAGTTTAATAAAGCTCTACAATATGGTCAAGAAATATTTTAAGAGCAGACATCCAACAGACGCCATGTTTGTTTACATTCTAGAAAAGACAGACATCCAACAGTCGCCATGTTTGTTTACATTCTAGAAAAGACAGACATCCAACAGTCGCCATGTTTGTTTACATTCTAAAAAAGGCAGACATTCAACAGGCGCCATGTTTGTTTACATTCTAGAAAAGACAGACATTCAACAGGCGCCATGTTTGTTTACATTCTATACAAGAGCAGACATCCAACGGGCGCCATGTTTGTTTACATTCTATACAGGAGCAGACAACTAGAAGTCGAAGTCCCCCCACAGCCCACTATAATTTAATCCAACAGATTTAGCTCCACTGTGGGGATGGCCATGCCAGCCACACCCCACTCTGAAGACCATAGCCCCACTGCTACCTGGACAGGTACACGTTGTGTACGTGTACCTGGTCTCTACCCACCCCACCCTCTGCCTGTGTACCCAGTGACCTACAGAGACCTGCTTAGAACAGCCATGAGGATGTGACACTATAATGGTCAGCTTGTCCACATCTCTACGACTCTTGTATTTGTCCCTTACTTTCTTACATAGACCATCAAACCGCCCCAACATCTCCTCCAGTTTATCCGCTACATCTACGTCATGTGTCACACAATAAAACTGACACAAGTCTCCCTCAGTGGCTGACCCAGCCACCTCCCACCCATAAATGTTGACCAATGGACTTTTATCATCATCAAACCACAACCTACAGCTGGACTGTCTCGCCTCACTCTTATCAAAAACCACATGTGTGGCTGTCAACACACGAACCTCCCACCACACTTTGCTGGGTGTGTCCGAGTGGTCACATTCAGGACATGGACAAGTTCTGTAGTCCCTCCTACCCTCTGTGAATTTGGTCACCAGCCACACCCTACCAGTCCCTGTCCTCAGTGAGTTCTGTCCCCTGGTGTTGTAGCAAGGATATGGATCTTTAGTGACTGGTACAAACTCTGGTCTGTCTGGACTGGTCAACTTAACGGCTACCCTGACAGTTAGGTCAGCCAGGGCTTTTGTGAGGTCATACACATCGTTGTCATGGAAACCAGGAGAAAAATGCTCAAGACTAAACTGATTTACAGGTACAAAGTTTTTATGGCCAGGATTTTTCTCACAGTTTGCAAGGTGTGTGTGTAGATCTACCTCACCTTGACCTTCAAGACATTCTTGTACTTCATGTGTACCTGTACAGGTAAACAAAACCATTTTTATTACTGTAAACATTTCTTTAGCTGTTAAACTTTGACAAACATAAAACATGAAATCTATCTACAACCTCCAACTGTCACAACCATCACCATCTTAAGATACTCATCCAGTAAACATTTCAAACTACAGAATGTTCCAACATAAGGACTTCATCAGCACAAAACATTTAGGCATGCAGGTAGATACCTTTTGAATATCTTTCCAAATTGACATTACCTGTAAAATATGTTGAGATGTCTCCTTCACTGGCCATACTGTTGTGGTCATCTAGACTATCCTCTCCACTGACCATACTGTTGTGGTCATCTAGACTATCCTCTACACTGGCCATACTGTTGTGGTCATCTAGACTATCCAAGTTAATTCCTGTTAAATAAACCACAACACAAAGATTTGACACATTGTCTACATCAGCACTAAACAATGGCTGTACACTTGATTAAGTTAAAAGATAATTAACAAACTTACCTGTAACTTGATGTGACAGATCTCTACTGGCCTTTACTATAGTCTTATGGTCATCTGTGGCAGCTGTGTGATTGAAATAACCTTGACCTTCACATCACATTCAGCAGCAGTCGGTCACTCTGTTATATTTACAAATATTTTGACTTTATAAAGAAAGAAGTTTAAATGGTACCTGGACCAGTCATCAACCAGTGTTTCTTTACAAACTACATAACAATAGTGTAGTGAAGGAGGATGAATGGGGGTGAATGTTGTTGTGACTTGGTACCCTAACCCGTTCGTCCTTAATCAGTTCTGGTGCGTGAGTTGTAATAGTCCGGTTTGTACCAGTTTATAAAAGGGTATATAAGGTGTATGAAAACGTGTGTGATGGCCACAGTTTTGTCCAGATCTCCAAGGTTAGTACAGGTTAGGTTTATACTAGTTTTTAGCCACTGTATCTTAGTTTACTAGCTTGTGTATTTTGTGTATAGACTAGACTGTGTTATGTGTAGATAGTGTATATACTATTAATAAAATACTTAAAAAAAACTTTAAAAAAACACGTTTTTCTTGTGGACTAAACAGTAGAAAATAAATGTTGTGCTTCCTCGAGCTTTGCAGGTTCTTGTGATGACAGTTCATACATTTGATGACAAAAAACGTGGGTACGTTCACCATCAAATTTCCCGACCCATCTCCCCGACCCACGTTTTTTGTCATCAAATGTATGAACAGTCATCACAAGAACCTGCACAGCTCGATGAAGCACAAAATTTATTTTCTACTTCTTAGTCCACAAGAAAAACGTGGTTTTTTTAAAGTTTTTTTTAAAGTATTTTATTTTCTCCTTTTTAGTCCGTTGCTACACATGAAAAACGTGGTTTTTAAAAAGTTTTTATATAGTTTATTTTCTACTTTATCTAATGACTTGAATTAAGTATGACTTGACTAAGTGTTTTTAAATACATATAAATTTAGTGGATTTTTTAGGTACCCATCAGAGTTGGGTGGACTCATGGACGGTCTACTGACTTAAACCCGGATTCGAACCCGAGACTAACGGGTTAGCAGTCCAACCCGGATTCGAACTCGAGACTAACGGGTTAGCAGTCCAACTCTCTACCGCTAGACCACTCCGCCACTGATTAAACCTCTTAATTTTGATATTTTGATAAATCTGGATTGATAACTTTTGCTTTAGAAATCATGTCCTCAATTTTATGGTCCTTGGGGCGTAATTTAATTAAGCTAATTTAGGTCTCTAATTGCTAGATTTTATGATTGCATCTGAAATTGTTAGGCGAAAATAGCATGCCAAATTTCAGATCTCTAGAGCAATCAGAAGTGGGCTAATTTTCGATGTCAATTTTAACAACAAACAAACAAACAAACAAACGCGAAGCTGAGTTAAGAAAAACGTGTTAAAATCATTTAGTTTTCAACGAGCCTTTGTTTATTCAGTCTTGTATTGTAACCCGTTTGTGGTTGTTTGTCTTATGTGTTGCGCTACGCATCGGATCACCCGCAAGGAGTGTCCGTTTGTTCACAATAATAGCCACTACTCAATGATATGGCAAACAGAATTCAGCATGATGGTCAGCTTTAGAAGATTATGGTTAAATAGATTCTTAAACCAACATGTAAGATAGATTGACTGACCTTTGAACTACCCACTTGACTTTAACATTAGACAGCACACACCACTATGGAAGATCCTTCAGGCTCTGGAGAGAGAAATAAAATTATAGTGGAACTGTCATTAGCATAGAACTACAGAATGACAGCATTTATGATGGAACTGTCATTAGCATAGAACTACCGAATGACATTTATGGTGGAACTGTCATTAGCATAGAACTACAGAATGACAGCATTTATGATGGAACTGTTATTAGCATAAAACTACAGAATGACAACAGTTATGATTTGAACTGTCATTAGCATAGAACTACAGAATGACAACATTTATTATGGAACTGTCATTAGCATAGAACTATAGAATGACAACATTTATGATGGAACTGTCATTAGCATAGAACTACAGAATGACATGTATGATAGAATTGACATTAGCGTAGAACTACAGAATGACAACATTTATGATTTGAACTGTCGTTAACATCGAACTACAGAATGACAATATTTATGACGAATCATGAACAATTAAAGAAGAACATAACATGGTTCTTATAATTGTGATGTAACCTAAAGATGTCAAATGTTTGCAACACACGGGAGAAATGTTTGTATCTAGATCTACCTGGAAATGTAGGTAAAAGTTATAGACATGCATGGAAAGTTAATTAGAGAAATATTTTCATAGTAATCATGTTTATTCATTTTTTAACAATTGCAACAATTTAGCTACTAAATGATAATTAATAAGCCTTTATTATTTTGGGATTTGTATGTTTTATTATTGATTGATTAGGCTACAGGTTACTAGATCTAGTTATAGGCCTATACAATTACAATATTTTACAATAGATTTTTGCTCAAAGAATACTAATATATTACTGAATAGTTTTAAGTTTCCTGGCAATTTTAAATCAATTATTTTCTAAAATGTTAAAAAGTTTTACACTTAACTAGTCTAAACTGCTAGGCCTAAAGTTAAAAAACAAAGTTAGAAATTTAATCTAGATCTAGAATCTAGATCTATAACCAGTTTTAATTATCAAAATTAATCGGTAGCCCAGCTAATAATTTGTGAAAAAATTAATTTTGTTTTTAAATGGCTACATTGATACGACGGTAAATTTTATTGGAGTGTTGTTGTGACGCGTTTTACCATTCAGCAGAAATATGTCGTCTGTTAGATTTCTTCTCACTCAAAGACACAGCGGGCAAAATTGGCGGGCTTTGTTGGCTGACGTCTTTATAATGTTATTTTTTGAAGGTTTTGTCTTTATGCTGTATTATTTTGTTTTGTTTTTTTAATTAATGAAAATAGTTTAGCATGACGTATTTAATAATTTTATATAGTTCTGAGTATTTTGAATATTTTACAACAATATTAAATACAGTAATTATAATTTTGCTTACTTTATATAATTCTGCTAGATTTTTTCAGCGATTATACCAAACAAATGTACAAATGTCTAGTTTGCCTCAAACACTAGAAGCCCATTGTTAAAACTAGATCTGTATCGTTGAATAATACTAAAAAATTACGCTTATAAGATTATATTTCTGAAAAGACAATGAAGCATTGTTAAAAAACGGAATCAATGAATCGTCGTTTTCGGCAGCCATTATTACCATGACGACGGTAAACAGAAGTAGGTCAAGCGACAGACTACATAGAGCCACATGTGCACGGGTGTTTAAATTCAGAGCTCTTCGGTTTAGCAACACTACGTTTTACTGGAACGATAAGGGGTCGGCGTGGTCGAGTCGGTAAAACTCATGTTTGCTAAACCAAAAAGTCTCAAGTTCGAACCCCCGGGCAGATGAGGCTCGTTAGCTGGGGACAGCCACTCTTCTAGGAGAGACAACTCCAAAATCAAACAACTGCTGCCTTGTAGTTTGTTCTTGGTTGGACAAAGGCTATGGAAGAAAATCCAAAAACAAAAGCAGGCTGAAATCGGAGTCAATGGCCTCAATGGCGCATAACCAGTTGACACGTAACCTTAATTGTGATGGAGGCGTGGCCTAGTTGACAAAAAGCTCATGGTTGATAAATTCGATAAAAAAAAGTCTCGAGTTCAAACCATCTGGCAGATAAGGCTCGATCGAAACTCTTACTGGCCTGTGTTTAAATCTGTTCCGTCGCTTACAAGTTCCCACGTGACAGTGGGCTGATGATTGGGAACTAGAAAATTACCCCCCCCCCCCCAGCACGGCACTAACTACAGCGGTCACTGGGCAGCCTGCAGGCTAATTTTGTCATGTCCATGTTGTCTGCTGTCCGCTCCCTGTGATGTATCATGTTTGTATGTTTAGCAAATGCTTTTGATGTTTCTCCAATTTATTTTACACCCTATAAAGTTTACATTCAAATGTTGGAGCATTAAGTACAATAGTTCTACTGAATTATAATCATGGCATTTTTACAATTTAAATAAAAAATTTTGATCTAGATAATTTATGTGGAAATCGAACAACTCATTCTGAATTTTTAAAATCCAAATAAGATATCAGAATTTGTAAGTATAAACCATACGTTATTAACACTTTTTTTAAAAAAAGTTTAATTAAGACAATTTTACTAATTCGTAAAAATTAATGTCCTGATATTTAAGATTTTATCCCGTGTAGGGTAATAAAAAGACATATATAATAACTTAAATAGTAGTCTATGTATATAAATGTGTAGCTGTCTTTGTTGGAATTCGATTAAGTATTTTAATATGTATTTTTTACTAATTATATCTATCATCATATTGCATTTGCTTCTAACTAATCTGTAAATTAAAAGAATTTTTTTTCCAGTTTGTCAATTTGCCAAGCCTGACTTTTAGAATGCATCGGCGTTTACTTTTATAAACAAGGATCGATTCTGATAATACGCATCGCATAGTGAGTATTAAAAATAAAGTTAGACTATATAAGCGATTTTCACAAATTATTACTACGGATATATATTCTTGAACGCATGTTTTACTTAATGAGAACGTTAATCAAAATAAAGTTGTTTTCTATTTATGTAAATTTTGCACATCCTACAAATGGCGGGAAAATACATTAATTTCTATATCGATATTTTAAGAGTATCGACTTCGAATCGTCGTGAATTGTTTTGTCTAAATACCGATACATTTAATATCATCGTCTTTTGTTAAAACATTTAAATTATCCTTTTGTGTAAATATAAAAAGAAATTAGATTAAACAAAGTACCGATCATCAAAACATAATGATACAAGGTTAATCAATCAATTCTAATGCCGGCCATCATTGGAGGTGATCGATTGATTTACTGTTAATTTCTTTCAGAGAAATTTTTGCTTTAGCTCAACTACTTAAAATAGTGCAGCTAACTTATTAAAACAGTAATTTAAGGTTAAAATAATTACCGATCAAAATATAAAAATTAACAAACACCTAAGTAATTACATAATTAAGTCGAGAGAGTTGAAATAGAATCCCAAACAGTGCACACACCAGTTGTGTAAGGAAGTGA